GGTGATCCTTCCGCTTCAGTCTTCCAAGTAGCTGGAACCACAGGCACGCAGCACCATGCCCAACTAATTTTTTTCATTTATTGTAGAGACGAGGTCTTGCCAAGTTGCCCAGGCTGGCCTCAAACCCCTGGGCTCAGGCAATCCTCTGGCCTCCACCTCCCAAAGTGCTGGGATTACAGGCATAAGCCACCTCACCTGGCTGCTAGAGTTTTTATTATGAAAATATATCAAATTTTATCAAATGTTTTTTCTGCTCTATTCATGTTTATATGGTTTTTATCATTCTGTTAATATGGTGAATTACATTAATTGAATTTCAGCCTTTTTTTTTTTTTGGAGTTAGACTTTCACTCTATTGCCCTGGCTAGAGTGCAATGGCATGCTCACAGCCACTGCAGTCTCAATTTGCTGGGCTCAGGCAATCCTTCCACCTCAGCCTTCCAAGTGCGTGCCACCACACCCTTTTAATTTTTTTATTTATTGTAGAACCGAGTTCTTGCCAAGTTGTCCAGGGTGGTCCCGAATTTCTGGGCTCAAGCAATCCTCTTGTCTCCACCTCCCAAGGTGCTGGGATTACAGGTGTGAGCCACCGTGTCTGGCTGAGTTTCAGCCTTCTGTTAAATAAAATTTATAGGCAGCCATTGGTTTGGACTGAGTTCCTGTACCACACCCAATAGACCAAACCAAAATGAAGTCACTCATGTTGGCTTCATGCCATGGATTTGAAACTAAAGATCTTCATCTGACCTTCCAAGGAATCAGGAAAGATAATAACCAAAACTCCAACAGGCCAAACAGTCCTAATATACTTTTAGTATTTTCATGTCAGAATCTGTTGCCCAGACTGGAGTGCAGTGGCAAACTCACAGTCACTGCAGCCTCAACCTGCTGGGCCAAGTATTATATTTTAGTATTTTTGTGTACATGAGAAATATTGATCTATAATTTTATTTTCTTAAAATGTTTCTTGGGAGATTTCGGTATCAGGGTTATATTGGTCTCATAAAATTAGTTGAAAAGATGTTTGGTGTTGTTTAAATATTTGGAAGACCAGCCTGGGCAACATAGTGAGGCCTCCTCTATACAAAAAATAAAAAAGATTACCTGAGCATGGTGGCATGTACTTGTAGTTTCACCTACTCAGGAGGCTGAGGTGGACGGATTGCCTGAGCCCAGAAAGTTGAGGCTATGATGAGCTGTGATCATGCCACTGGACTCCAGCCTGGATGACAAAATGAGACCCCAACTCAAAAAAAAAAAAAATTAAAAAGGTAATGTGATGTCAAAATGTGGCTATATGAGTCTAGATCATGAAGAAGTATGTGCTAGAAATAAAAATTTCTAGTAAGCAGTGGTTGAAGCTGGATGAGAACTTCTAAGGGAAAAAATAAGAGAAGGGTTTAGTTTTGGACCTTGTTGAGTACATCATTTAGTATAGGTTTGGATTAGGACCACTGCCAATAACGCAATGGAAAATAGGCAAAGGATATGATCTGAGAGTCCATAGATAAATAAGAGCCTGGCTAGTGCAGTAGCTCACACCTGTAACCCCAGCACTATATGCAAAGATTTCTGGCCGGGCTCAGCCTGTAATCCCAGTGCTTTGGGAGGCCGAGGTGAGTGGATTGCCTGAGACCTGCCCGGGCAACTTGATGAGACCTCATCTATACAATAAATCAAAAATTACCCGGGCGTGGTAGCGCACGCCTGTGGTTCCAGCTACTTGGAAGGCTGAGGAGGAAGGATCGCCAGAGCCTAGCAGGTCGAGACTGCGGTGGCCGGGAGCGTGCCACTGCACTCCAGGCTGGACGATGAAGTGAGACTCCAACTCAAAAAAAAAAAAAGATCTCCAAGATAATATTGGTAAGTGTAAGAAGGGGGAGGATGAGAATATACATTCATAATTGCTTGGACTTACATAAGACACTGGAATATTCAAGAATCTAATAAAGGGCATCACAGGCAGAAAAAAGAACAGGGTGAAAAGAGGATGGAAATGAGGCTTCTTATATCTTTTTTATTTTTGAACACAGAAGTGTGTTGCCAATTAAAAAAAAAAAATTTTTAAAAAGGTAATTACAGCCAGGCTCAGTGGCTCAGCTTGTAATCCCAGCACTTTGGGAGGCCGAGGTGAGTAGATTGCCTGAGCCTGCGGGTTCGAGACCCACCTGGGCAGCAAGACCTCATCTCTACAATAAATCAAAAAATCAGCTGGGTGTGGTAGCGCATGCCTGTAATTCCGGCTACTCAGAAGGCTGAGGAGGAAGGATCGCGGGAGCCCAGCAGGTTGAGGCTGCGGTGACCGGGAGCGGCCACTGCACTCCAGACTGGGTGACAGAGTGAGACTCCAACTCAAAAAAAACAAAAAAGGTAATTACAGGCTGATGTGATGGCAGCAAGCAAATTGGGGTGTTGGTCATCGATCTTTGAGCTTCTCGTGCCTACAAAGTAATGCTTATCACACTGTTCAGGAGTCAGTGGCAAAAAGTAAGGTTTGCTCATTTTTGCCAAGGAGAGTCCTACTAAAATCCAGAGTATCAGCAATACAATCATATCCCACAGTCTCAGCACTTTGGGTGGCTGAGGCGGGAGGATCACTTGAGGCCAGGAACTTGAGACTAGCCTGGGCAACTAGTGAGACCCCGTCTTTACAAAAAATAAAAAATTAGCAAGGGGTGGTAGCGTATGCCTGCAGTCTCAGCTACTTGGGTAACTGAGGAGGGATGATCACTTGAACCCAGGAGTTCAAGGTTACAGTATCTGTGGTCACACCTGGGTGACAGAGCAACACCCTGTCTCTAAAAATAAACAAATACATACATAAATAAAAATTTTTTAAAGTCTTTATACATATACTCCCTAGGCTCTCACAACATCAAAAGCAATCTTAAAGTATCTTTTAAAATTAATTTCAAGCAGATTTTTTTAGTAGAGAGAATTAGTGCTGTGATTGGGCACTAATTTCTTCTCAATAGGTAAGTCCCAGAATGCAGCACTTCACATTGTGGGGAGGAGTGAATTCGAAGCTGAGGAATTGGGTGCAGGGAAGTCACTTGGTGGTATTGTTTTCATTTAACAGAGACAAAAGATCTAAGAAACTTGCCCCAAGTCCCACAGCCTGGAAGTGAAACTGCAATGCCCCTTTCTTGGTCTCAAGGCATTACCCCACCTAAGATGAGCTGCTCAAGAGCATTGACCCACTACAGAGGAGGAGGAAATGGAGCATAGGAGGTCAGGCTGAACCCATCGGTTCTCTTTGCATCTCACACAGGAGTCTTCCTTTTCTGTTCCTCTCACCCCCATTAAAAAGTCCGAACTACTATCCCTGTGGTACATCAGATGCATACCATTTACTATTTAATAGTGTATGTAATAGGATATGTAGTATAATATACAAATATATAGTATTAATTTTTAATATTAATACAGATGGTCCCCGGCTTATGGTTCAACTTAAGATTTTTCAACTTTTTTTTTTTTTTAGTTGGAGTCTCACTCTGTCGCCCAGACTGGAGTGCAGTGGCTGCTCCCGGCCACTGCAGCCTCGACCTGCTGGGCTCCGGCAATCCTTCCTCCTCAGCCTTCTGAGTAGCCGGAATTACAGGCATGCGCTACCACGCCCGGCTGATTTTTTGATTTATTTTAGAGATGAGGTCTCGCTGCCCAGGCGGGTCTCGAACCCACGGGCTAAGGCAATCCACTCACCTCAGCCTCCCAAAGGCACGGGATTACAGGCTGAGCCACCAAGCCCGGCAATTTTTCAACTTTTTGATATGAAAGCAATATACATTCAGTATAAGCCATACAATATTCAGTAAATGAGATATCCAACACTTTTTTTATTTTTGAGTTGGGGGTCTCACTCTGTCACCTAGGCTGGAATGCAGTGGCACAATTACAACTCATGGCAGCCTCAACTTCCTGGTCTCAGGCAATTCTTCTGCCTGAGCCTCCCAAGTAGCTGGGACTTTAGGTGTGCACCACCAAGTCCGGCTAATTTTTTTTTTTTTGGTAGAGATGAGGTCTTGCTATGTTGCCCAGGCTGGCATTGAACTCCCAGTTTCAAGCAATCCTCCCACCGTGGCCTCCTAAAGTGCTGGGATTACAGGCATGAGCCACTGTGCCAGGCCTATTTTTATTTTTTTTTAAATAGAGATGGGTGTCTCGCTATGCTGCCCAGACTGGTCTTGAATTCCTGGTCTCAGGTGACCCACCCACCTCCCAAAGGGCAAGTGAGAGCACCACATCCAGCCGATATCCAACGCTTTCTTGCAAAATGGGCTTTGTATTAGTTACTTTGCCCAACTATAGGTTAATGTGTTCTGAGCATGTTCAAGGTCAGCTAGGCTAAACTATGATGTTTGGAAAGTTAGACGTATTTTTAAAATGTGTTTTCGATTTACAACACTCTTCATTTACGCTGGGCTTACGAGACGTATCCCCTTTGTCAACTGAAGAGCATCCGTAATTTGAAAGGCAGCTACTCAACAACCCCTCACCCATAAAATATAAATCAAAATCAGCAAACCTGGTTATATAATAAAGCACATTTTATTGAGTTACAATCAGTGCGCACGTTAGAGCGAGTGCTGCTTTCCCAATCTCAGCGATTCTAGATTTGTTTGCCTAATTTCCCGTTTTCCAGTGTTCCGATTGCTGTTTTAACACTTTGCTTTCCCACAGAGATAGGCTTCTGCAGCTAAGGGTTGTTATTTCAACGCAGGGAGATAAAAGAAAACACACTCTCCCTGCTCTTCTACCCAGAAGGAGACTCACCCTAGGAAGAACGTCAGTATTTCCAGCTCCTAGGGCATGCACACCAGACCCGGGACCGAGGGGCGAGCTGGGAGTCGCCGGGCGGTCACGGCTAATTAGTTTGGGCCGCGGCCACGGTCAGCGCGGCTTTGGGCGGGCCGCCGAAGGTGATTGGCTGCTGCAGACCCACCTCCTCGCGGATCTGAGGGACGGTCACTGGATTGGTGGAGCCGGAAGAGCTCCCTCGGTTGCTGCTGCGCTCGTGGTGCAAAGCAGAGATGGCGTCTGCGATTCAGCAGCTGGGGCGGCGCGTGGCGAGCTGGAGGCTGCGGCCATCGCTGCCGCCGCTTGCCGGCCTAGCGTCCCAGCGAGCCCACTCGCTGTTGCCGGTAGACGATGCGATCAACGGGCTAAGCGAGGAGCAGAAGCAGGTAGGGAGACTGATCCCCTTCCCGGACCCGAGGCCTCCTGCCCGGGCCCCGTCGGACCCACTCGGCGGTCGCCTCCTCACTTCCCTGCCCTGTACCCAGCTGCGACTTGTGCCGGCGGGGCTTTGGGAGCGTCAGCCTGGGAACGGGAGCGAGATTCGGGATTCTCTGACTTGGAGCTGGGCCTCTGACTTCAGCCTCAAGTCTGGAGGGAAGATTTGAGCAGCAAGGCGGTGCTGCTGGAGGTGGTAGGGAGGAGGAGTCAAGGCTAGGAAAGCTTCTGGGAGACTGGGGTTGTTTTGGCCCCTCTACTGCTTGTGGCAGAAGGGCCCTCAAGCTGTAGTTAGTCCACTTATACCGAAACACACCGAGGTATGGTCCTCAGACTTTGTTGGTCATCCTAATCTTTCCTGAATAGACACTTTGGCCGGGCACGGTGGCTCATGCCTGTAATCCCAGCACTTTGGGAGGCAGAGGCCAGAGGATTGTCTGAGCCCAGCAGGTCCAGGCTGCGGTGGCCCTGAGTGTGCCACTGCACTCCAGCCTGGGTGGACAGTAAACTCCGACTCAAACAAACAAACAAAAAAGAATAAACACTTCGGAGATTTTAAAACGCACAGTATGGTCTCCTATCACTTCTAGCACTCTTCACCCCATGAGGTCAAAGCACAAAGCTGTTTTGAACAAGAACTTGAAAGAAGTAGTTAGAAAAGAAGCTGAACCAGAGCCCTTCCTGGAGGAAGGAGGCTGTGTTCACTTGAAGGCTGGACAGAGTTCCTAGAATGTGATTCTCCTGTGACTCTAAGCGAGTTTGAGCCTCCCAGAAATCCCAACGTTTGAGTCTATAACCAACAGGTAGAGTTTCTTTGAGTCACTTCTGGCAGAAAGGAGTCAATCTTAATCCTTAAATTTTCCAGGCTTCTGATCTCTTTCAGTAATCAATCCCATCTAGCCTGAGACTCAAGGACCTAAAAGAGCCTGATGCCTGCTGAGATCTGAAGGGGATGTAGAGCGGAGCTGGAGCACAGTAGATAGAGTGTGGACAGATACTGGGGAAGCCTGGGAGAGTCACCTGGGATCAGCTCATGCAGGGTCTTATAGACCTGGCTAAGGAGCTTGTGTTTGATTCTATGTATGACAAAAAGTGATGGAATGATTTTATGTCAGAGAGTGACATTTTAGAAATTACCTTCAAGCTGTCTAGACTGAAGACTATAAGAAAGAATGATGAAGATCATCTCTGAGGAATCATAAACTAGGGAGGCCTCTCAGTTTCAGTCTGATGCTGTTTGTGAGGTTACTTGTGGCCTGTGTTTTTGAACGTATCCTCAGTAGTGAAGACACTGTCTGCAATGGTTTGGGCAATAATACGGTGCTGTATTCACGTAAGAGCGAGGGTGCGTGAGAGCAAGGGTGGAACACAGTATATTTCTTATATCATCTAGAGGATGGTTCCTGGAATTTGAGCTGGTCCTAGAAAGTTTCAACAGCATCTATACACCTCTCTCTCATTAGCTTCGTCAGACTGTGGCTAAGTTCCTTCAGGAGCACCTGGCCCCCAAGGCCCAAGAAATCGATCATAGCAACGAGTTCAAGAACCTGCGAGTGAGTCATAAGGCCTGGGCAGGGTGGCAGTCTGGGAGCTGGGCTGAGTTGCACTGCTGCCCAGAAGGGCTCACACAGCCTTCTGTTAAATGAAGTCTCCCTTAGAATGCAGCCTCTGCCGGGTTCGGTGGCTCAGCCTGTAATCCGGCGCCTTTGGGAGGCTGAGGTGCGTGGATTGCCTGAGCCCGCGGGTTTGAGACCCGCCTGGGCAGTGAGACCTCATCTCTACAATAACAAAAAATCAGCCGGGCATAGTAGCGCATGCCTGTAATTCCGGCTACTGGGAAGACTGAGGCGGAAGGATCGCCGGAGCCCAGCAGGTTGAGGCTGCGGTGGCCGGGAGCAGCCACTGCACTCCAGTCTGGGCGACTGAGTGAGACTAACTCAAAAAAAAAAAAAAAAAAGAATGCAGCCTCCTCTGTCTGAAAGGTTCCGGTCACATGTGATGGGCTGCTTTCTCCTCACAACTCACTCCACTCCATTCTGTTGGCAGGAGTTTTGGAAGCAGCTGGGGAACCTGGGAGTATTGGGCATCACAGTCCCTGGTGAGTACAGTTTATGTCCCTAAAAAGCACTTTTTCGTGCGTGCCCTTTAAGACGTGGAATGTGGACAGGGGAAAGCTGGGAGGGTCAGCTGTGATCAGTTCATACGAGGTCTTGTAGGCCTGGCTAAGGGGCTTGTGTTTGATTCTATGTGCAACGAAAAGTGATGGAATGATTTTAAGACATTCCCAAAAGAAGCAGGAAGGGAAGGGAAAGGAAAGATTGTGCTCAGTCAGGCTCGGTGGCTCACCCTGTAATCCCGCACTTTGGGAGGCTGAGGTGAGTGGATTGCCTGAGCCCGCGGGTTCGAGACCCACCTGGGCAACTTGGCAAGACCTCATCTTTACAATAAATCAAAAAATTAGCCAGGCGTGGTAGTGTACGCCTGTAGTTCCAGCTACTTAGAAGGCTGAGGCAGAAGGATCGCCGGAGCCCAGCAGGTCGTGGCTGCGGTGGCCAGGAGCGTGCCACTGCCCTCCAGCCTGGACGACAGAGTGAGACTCCAACTCAAAAAAAGAAAAAAAATTTCCTAGCCGGGCTGGGTGGCTCAGCCTGCAATCCCGCGCCTTTGCCTCAGACTTCCAAGTAGCTAGAACTACAGGTACACACCGCCACACCCGGCTAGTTCTTTATTTTTTTGGTTTTTTTTTAATTTTTTTGTTGTTGTTTTTGAGTTGGAATCTCACTCTGTCTCCCAGGCTAGAATGCAGTGGATTGCCTGAGCCCGTGGGTTCGAGACCCGCCTGGGCAACTTGGCGAGACCTCATCTCTACAATAAATAAATAAAAAAAAAAAAGAAAGAAAGATTGTGCTCAAAGAAACCCAGAATTTCTCCCTATTTGACCTGAGAAAGCACCCATTTTCTGTCAGCCCAGAGAAGAAGACACACCTCTATTTCTTTAGGCAGTGATCTGGAGAAGGCAAAGGGATGAGGTCAGTGTGGCTCACTTGAATCAGGATCACTCAGATTCTCTGTGTACTGAGTAGGCTCCCCCAGGTGATTTGAGAAGTTTAGAAACTCTGGATCAAGTGCTTGTCCTCATTGCACCTTGGTTTGCTGCCTCCCCTAAACCCTGAATTCTGTTCTACCAGTGACTTCTATGCAGGAACACTCAGTGCCTTTGTCCTCTGTTCACAACTTTACCCTGAGGCTAATTTGGGAACAAATGGGAGCACAGGAGAAGGATGATTGTTTGTGCCTCTGTGTGAGGTGGCCAGGTGATGTGTTTAATAGACTTTTCCTGGGTCTGTCCCTGTGGGTCTCACTACTTAATTCCAGAGGGAGAGGGTGGGGAGCTGGTAGGCTGTGTTTGGGGCCTTAGCCTCTGAAGAGGCTCAGCCTGGCTTGCAATACCGAGTAAAGAGATGAACCTGTGGCATCACCAGCCAAGGCATGGGCAGCCTACCCTGCTTGGGCTTGTATTCACTCTGGGCATGAGAAGGGGTGGGACACAGTGTACTTTTTTTTTTTTGAGTAGGAATCTTACTCTGTCACCCTGGCTAAAGTACAGTGGCATGACTATGGCTCACCACAGCCTTGACCTTCTGGGCTCAGGTGATCCTTCTGCCTCAGACTTCCAAGTAGCTAGAACTACAGGTGCACACCGCCACACCCGGCTAGTTCTTTATTTTTTTGTTTTTTTATTTTTTTGTTGTTGTTTTTGAGTTGGAGTCTCACTCTGTCTCCCAGGCTAGAGTGCAGTGGCACGCTCACGGCCACCGCAGCCTGGGCCTGCTGGGTTCAGGTGATCCTTCTGCTTCAGACCTCCAAGTAATTGGAACTACAGGCACATACCACTATGCCTGGCAAATTTTTTGATTTATCTTAGAGACAAGGTCTTGCTAACTTGCCCAGGCTGATCTCGAACCCCTGGACTCAGGCAATCCTCTTGCCTCAGCCTCCCAGACTACTGGGATTATAGGCGTGAGCCACTGCGCCCAGCCAAAAAAATCCCATTTTTTAATGGTGTGTTCTGAAGTTCCCTATCAGCATTTCTTCTGCCCACTCCAGGTTTCCCTCAGGCTATGGTTTTCCTGTCTTGTTACCAGCCCTGTTTTTTGGGGTCCAAACCTGCTGTAACAACTTGCCTTCCTTAAAATCCTTTTGCACACATACTACATCCTTGGCTTTGTGCCTGTTCTTAGTGCCTTGGACACCCCATCCCCAGCCTAATGCCTTTGTGTTTCTACACTTCAGGCCCTCTTTATTTATTCATCTGCCTCTGTATTTCCATGACTTTCTGAATAGTGGGCACTCAGGTTGTTCGTTTGTCTTCAACAAGAGGTCTGCCTGGGAAAAAGCAGGAGTTGCAGATTGTTTTCTGAACCACACCTAAACCAAATAGCAGTGGCAGCAAAATCAGTTCTGTGAACTTGTAAGCAGAATTATTTGCAGCAGCCTGTTCATCTTGCGAGGGGAAATTTGGAATAGGTGCTACAAGGATGTTTCTTTTCTGCCAGTAAATGTAAGACTCCTATCAATGTCTCAATGTAATCTGGACTGCCTTTTCCACTCCCATGTACCGCCCACTCCCAGTTCAGTATGGTGGCTCTGGCCTGGGCTACCTGGAACATGTGCTGGTGATGGAGGAGATATCCCGAGTTTCTGCAGCAGTGGGGCTCAGCTATGGTGCCCACTCCAACCTCTGCATCAATCAGCTTGTGCGCAATGGGAATGAGGCGCAGAAGGAGAAGTATCTCGCCAAGGTGAGGAGATAGAAATGAAGAAACACACACTGATCTCACGGTGCAACCACCAGCTACAAGGGATCCTCTCCCATTGTTGGGAGCCAGTCAGACTTGCTTTCTGTAGCATGCTGCCATGAACCAAATATGGTTAGGAGGGGACCAAGGACTGCGTTATAATGCTTGAGCCAAAAAATTAAAAATAAGGGCAGAATGCCTGCGTTGGACAACAAATGGACATTTGAAGGGTACTTTAAGAAATGGAAGAAAATTAGCTGGGCATGGTGGTGCACACCTGTAGTCCCAGGTACTTGGGAGGCTGAGGCAGAAGGATCACCTGAGCCCAGAAGGTTGAGACTGCAGTGAGCAGTGATTGTGCCACTGTACTCCAGCCTGGGCGACAAAGACCAAACTCAAAAAAAGGAAAGAAAGAAATGGAAGAATAGGACTAGCTCTCCTTGCAAAGGGAATAGGAAAAGGACAGACATTTTCAGCTTTGTAGATATTGCACTTCTTAGAGGAGACTTCTGGGACCTTACCAATACCCTGGTCTGAAGGGGAAGTTTCAAGGGGTGTAATTTGAACAGGAAAAGCACTGTCAGTGAGCTGCTGTAGGGTACTCCAAGGTCATAACAAGGCTCTTTGGGCTTCTCCTTGCAGCTGGCCAGTGGCGAGTACATCGGAGCCCTGGCCATGAGTGAGCCTAATGCCGGCTCTGATGTTGTTTCCATGAAGCTCAAAGCGGAAAAGAAAGGTGAGATGACTCTCCATTTGGGAGCTGAAATGAGCAGAGGGATAAACTTTATCAGGGTGAGGGAGCAACAGTTAGGACTGGCCCCTGCTTGGGTTTCCAGAACAAGGGCAGCTTCTTGCTCAGCAGGTCTGTGGACTGACTGGCTGAGATAGGTTAAGATGGCTTGAGCAAATAGCCAACATCCTGCCCTTAGGAGATCACTACATCCTGAATGGCAACAAGTTCTGGATCACCAATGGCCCTGATGCTGATGTCCTTATCGTCTATGCCAAGACAGATCCGGGTGCTGTGCCAGCTTCTCGGGGCATCACAGCCTTCATTGTAGAGAAGGTGAGTGTGGGTGGGTGCAGGGCCCAGGAGGCTTCTGCTTCCTGACAGCGGTAGCAGAAATAGCCCCCTTTCACTGATCTCAAATGCAATCAATCTTGTGTGCCCTGCAAGGCCCCCTGGTGATGAAGGTGAGGCAGAAAGCAGACTGACCTCATCTCTAAAAAAATTAAGTAGTCTGGACACAGTGGCTCAAGCCTGTAATCCTAGCACTTTGGGAGACCGAGGCGAGAGGATTGCCTAAAATTCAGGGGTTCGAGACCAACCTGGACAACTTGGTGAGACCTCATCTCTATAATAAATCAAAATAAACAAACAGACAAATAAATAAAATTTAAAAAGCCAGGCAGAGTGGCATGCACCTGTAGTCCTAGCTATTGGGAAGGCTGAGGTGGAAGGATCATCGAGCCTGAGAGTTCAAGGCTGCGGTGAGCTGTGATTGTGCCACTACACTCCAGTACACTCCAGCCTGGGCAACTGATGAGACCCTGATTCAAAAAATAAAAAAACCAAAAAGAGGGTGGCCAAACAGTCCAGGGAGGATGAGTTAGGTCTGAAGACAGTAGAGCTGTACCCAGAGCCTGGCCATGCAAAGAGGTCCAGGAAGAGGAGATTTAAAATGAGGGCAGGATTTGACAGTCAGGATGTCATTGGTAAACTCAGTGAGAGCAGCCTTGGGAGACTCAAGTGTGGGTGGCATGTGTGTGGAGACTGAAGGCTGCACCTTCACCGGTCTTGACAGCAAGAGAGAGACGGAGTAGGAGTTCGAATTAAAAGTTGGGAGTTGGAGTTTGTTTTTATGAAAGAGGGAGAGCTGAGCAAATTTTTTGGTAGAAAGGAAAATAGAGAGAGAAGTTGGGATGTGTGGGAACAAGTGAGTGAAACCAGTGGTGAGCAGAGGCAGAAGAGGGAAGGATAGGTTACAGTTGAGGGTAGAGAAACAACCTGCCTAGCAATGATCATGGAGTCAGGGACCAGGGCACCTGTGAAGGCTGTAGGTCAGGGGGTGGGGGAGATGGCAGAGAGTTTAATGAGTGAGTGTTGGAAAGGTTTGCAGTGCCCTCCATAAGGAGCGGGGGGAAAGCGGCTGACTAGGGTTGGAACAGAAAGGGTCTGGCTGCAATTATAAATGCCAAGGAGCCAGGCTCGGTGGCTCAGCCTGTAATCCCAGCACTTTGGGAGGCCGAGGTGAGTGGATTGCCTGAACCCGCGGGTTCGA